GAACAGAAACTATCAATACCTTAACATTAAGCAAAAACTACATCACTATAAAGCTTAGAATAAATGTATATGTAATCATGGAGTACTTTATTATTATCTAATATTACATGCAATCACTTGTATATAATATTAGATTTTTAATAAATTTAAATTTTTTTTATCTATTTCATATTTGGAATGCAATGGGATACTTTCTGGTTTTAAAAAATATCAATTTTCAGATGAATAACTTCGACAGAAATAAATAAAACTACAGCTGAAATTTTTATAAAGTAACATAAAACCTTAAGATGCAAGAAGTCATAATTAAAATAATAAGAAGTCCAAGAAAAAATAATAAGACAAAGTAAGACTACTCGAATAACGAATAAAATAAAAATGATAATAACTGTCCGAACATACGACAATTCAAGCATAAACGAGCTACAACTGCCAATGTTTTGAAGTAAGTAAGATGGCCGACGGTTAATTTCGCGGTTAACATTGCCGAGTTTTCGGCTTCACGAATTTCTGCTAGTGTCTCCTCCATCTACTCCTAGCTCCATGGTTTCGACTATATACCGGACATGACTGCCTAGCCGCGCACCTGTTTCGTTTAGGGCTCTCTGTGCATGAGCCAAGCTGTTTTGGATGGCAGCCACATCCTGTGCTGCAGGGTCCTCCGTGGGTCGTCGTCTACCGAGCGATATTGGGAAGCAAGAGGCGCTCCTGAGGAAATGACTTTTTACTTTCTTGTTTTGTTCCTGTGTTTTTGCTTTTTAACATGTCAATTCACCTCTGCCATTTGAAATAAATAAATATATCGGAAAATTCGACATGTTTACAAAAATATGGGCTTCTGATTGGCTTAATTGAGCTATCGTAATTGCGAAAATTTAGCTAAATTCCGCCTTAATGTGAGCAAGGATATGAATATTTCGCAACAAATACTTTTTTCGGGATTTCGGAAAGAACAAACTTTCTTTGAAAAGTAGTGAAGCAGAGGAGGTCCCCCAAAGAAGTTTTTGCCCCAATTACTCTAACTCGGGCCCTGATCGTTTTTAGTGCACCATGATGTTGTAGACCTCTTTCAGAGATCGTCAAAAAGAGCTCTCTAAATAAGAGGCCCACACAAATAGTTTGAAAACATTTTAATCTACATCCTTATTTGCTTTGTTAATATATTTTGTTTTAATATTTTTTCTTGTTTCCTTACCTTTTCCGTATTTGGCGCACAGGATTGCCTATCGGTGGTTGAAGTTTTAATGATCTCTCCTAAAGGTTGTTTTCAACACTAAGTCTATGGAAAAAATCCAGAAGTTAGAAAAAGCAAAAACAAAAAAACACTGATACTGAAGGTTTTTAAGTTTTCTAAAAATGCCAATTTTTGCTCCTTTAAAAATGATGAAATTTTTTATGTTAATCGCATTGAACAATTAAGTACACTAACTAACTGCTAAGTTTTTATTTTTTATAACAGTAAAGAAAATAAATCATGGCATTAAATGTAAATATTAAATACCTTTTGACTAGTAAAAGGCAATTCTTACAGATCAAAGCTCTTCAGTTTTGCTTTTACATTTATTACAAAGATTTAAAGCACACACATGCGCACTGCACTTTCATTTTAACTGATAATATTTGAAAGAAAGAAAAAACACTCGATGGGACGAAAATACCAACATTAGTTAATATATTAATAGAAATACAAATAAATTAGAAAAAAATTAAATTAAAAATCACTTTTAAGAAGCTGCAGTATTTTAAATAACTATCAAAAACGAATAACTTTTGAAAGAATGGTTTTTCAGTGGGTAAAAGTGAAAAATCATATGAATGAAATGAAAAAGTGAAAAATGGTATTCTCAACTTTTTATTACCCAGAAGAAAAAATTCTGGTAAAATTACCTTAGTGTATGGTAATTACATTTCTGGTAAAAAAATCCCTCATAATTTTTATAAATAGAACCATAATATACGGTATTTAAATCATTCATTTAGTAATTTCCCGTTCATCATGAATTCACCGGAAATTTTGGTTTTCAAAATTATAGTTCTTATTACCACACATTTAGTAAAAAGTATAAAACTGAAGAGTAAATTTTTCCGAATAATGGTTATTATACCACGTTTGTACTATGATAAAATTACTAAATTTTACCACAGTTACCAAATTTTATCCCATATTATAAAACCGTATTTTACTGTTGATTCAACCAAAATCATTACCAAAGCACTTCTGTAAAAGTTACCGTGCTTTTTGGTGTTTCCATAGAACCAGAAACACGGTAAATGTTACCACAATCTGGTAGTTTTGACCATAAATTTTTCTCAGTGTAAATTTGTTATATCGTGCAATTCCAAATATTCGAGAAAATTTTAATTGCTGCATAGGTAGCTTGTTAGAAGGACCAAACTCTTGACTAGAAGCAAAAGAGGATAATCGTTGAAATCGGGAGGGGACATTTTAACGAATTTTTTAATTTAGAAGTTTTAAATTTATCCAAAACATCACCGAAGGGCCGTGCTTTAAACTCAACATAACCAAACCTTCTTTTTTATTTATAATTTTTTACTCAAAGTATAGAATGCGTTTTTGTAAATTAGAAAAAAAAAAATAAATACAAAAATTCTAAAAGATGTGGGGGCCTGAGACTAGAGGTGGCACTCTCTTATAAACCCCTTAATTCAGAGACCACCCCTTAATTCAGTATTAAATATTGGCAATATCTACTTTTTTTTCTTCAAGTCTGTACTAATTTCCCGTCATTAGTATTTAGCAGTTGCTATCGGTATATTTCAAGTTTAAAAATATTATTTTAGAAATTTTCCCTCTTTTTTCCTCCGCCAAGATAGTTGGAATTAGAAGACAATTTTGATTTAGTAAGGTTACTGAGAAAAAAATAAATCAATTTTTTTTTAAAGTTTCAGATTATTTTTCCTTTTGTTAAATATAATTATTATTTTTTGTTTATATTACTTTTTTTCTTCTTTGGTATTGTTTAATAACATGGAATTATTAGTACATAAAATCTTGTAGACACATTAGTAAAAATGTTTTCCTTAAGTCATGATAGTTTATATATTTTTTGAAAATGTTCTCGTTCCGGACAAGGGGGGGGATCACTCAACCTTTCTAGTCTTATGTAAGTAAACAATGAAATGTAGCATATAAGGTTCGTTCGCTGTTACAGAAATAAACGCTCATCCCCAATAAATGCGAAAACGTATTTTCGTTAGTAAGCATATACAATCGAGGTTCATTATTTCCTGCCTTCTTAAAAGCTTTAATGACGGATACTAATAAATTTATTAGTTACTAAGTCGGAAATGAGAGAATCGCGAAGCTCCCTATACCGGATGAAAAAAGACAGGGGAAAAAAAAAGCTGACCTAACAAGGGTTTTTATCGACTAGCTCTGCCGGGCTTTCATTGCTTCAAAGACAGAATACTCTTTTCTGTTTCTTCCGATAGATGGCAGTGGCGATTTCAAAAACAGAAATGCATTCTAAAATTTCAGATGATCTTCGAAGACGTTTAGTAAACGATTATCAACCGGCTCAAAAACTCAATGAGCTTTCTTATATCTGTTGAATATTTGAGGGCTCCGTGAAGATCGGAGTAAATGATCCTAAAACGGATTTGTTTATGTTGTGATTGTTCTTTTGTGGTTTGTGGGATAAAAAATGTCTTGGGTCCTGATATGTGGAATAATGGTCATCTTTCTCCACCCATCTGCTGGATACTATCACGGTATGATTTTACTTTTCTTTTTCGATTATATTAAATACTTTTAATAGATATATCTGGTTAGTTGAATGATATTAGCTACAGTAATTTACATTATTAGTTTTGCATTAAATGGTCTTATTCTCCACAGTAATGGATGCTTCTGATGGTTTCAGCCTAGTTACTATATTTCTCTTTGCTTCAAAACATTACTTTGAACCTAAAGTATTCATTACATATCTCAAAATTTACTTTTAACAGCTATTTTTAAAAAGTAATTTCTAAGACTCTTTACTAGACAGTGATATACATAAAAGAAATTTTGAATAATTATGAGCTTCCGAGGAATATAATCAACATTGATGTGAATTAGAGGGTGTATTTCAATTATAAATTTTTATTAAGAATAATCTTACAGATTTTGAGTTTCAAATTCATAGTGTAGAAAATGCTATCATGTACCCATTTTAAAAAAGACTTGAATATTCGGAAAAAAAAACTACTAATGATACACTTTATCTATTTTTTATGTTATCATTTCAATTGTCAAATGGTTAGTTAAATGTTGTTCAAATTATTTATGTTGTTTATTTAATGTTATGTTGTTTTTTAAGCTAATTTCGAAGATAAGATTTTTCGAAATAAATGTGTAAATAAGTTAAGCAATAAATAATATTTGTCTTCTGCTTTTTATTGTTGAATTTAAATTTTTTTTTACTACAATTTTATTTCTATTTCATTCTGCGAAAATACGTGTTTGAAAATCATAGAAATTGCTATATTATTTGATAATAGTTAATATTTAACTGAAATAAATTAATTTTTATATTCTCATGAAATAGGCATACTTTTTATTAAGGGATATTACAGCTCAATTTGCCCCAATTATAGACATAAATTAATTTGCCCTAATTATAAACTTACTAAATTTTTACTGTTGACCCGTTTCTCTCTTCGTTTTCAAATTTACTCCATAGTAAATAGTTTTTAATTTTAAATGAATTAGTAGTTTTCATAGATTACTGAAGAATAAATCTTCGCAAAACAATTGGAATAACTTTTTAATTATGTTCTTGGTTTGTAAAGTGGCCTATTAAATTATCAAGCACGATAATAAATGTTTCCATAATTTTGTTTTTAAATGAAATAAGAATTAGAACGTAAAACAGTTATTTAAAATAATATGATCTCAATAATTATTATTAACAATAGAAACTTTTTGTATAATTTTTTTTTAAAAATCATAACTACGTTAATTTGATATTTTCAAGTTATTGTTGAATTTATAAACTTAAGGAAAAAAATATAGTACTTCAATAGTTTTTTGATGCACAATTAAAATATTTTAAGAAACAAAGAATTTACAATTCTTCTACAAATTTCTTAAACAATTATTAAATTTATTAGGTCAACTAGGTAGTTAAAATTACTATTATGTTATCTTGATTATGTGAAATAAAACTATAGCAATCCCCATTTAGAACAAAATGACAAATTTTTGCTAACGAGCAGTGTGCGACATTGAATTTTAGCCAATTAGCGATAAATAGCGTAACGCGCCTTCACCATGCTCTCTGACAACAACGAACGGAGAGTTTAAATATTGTCAATTTGCTCCAAATTTATGTCCTTAAACTTTTTATTCAAATATATATAAAACTAAATTTTTTTTTTCTTTTTTAAATTTTTTTATCCCTAGGTTTTTATAGCATACTGCAACTCTTAAAATTTTTTAAAATATTTTTTCTAATAATTTTTAATTTTGCGTAAAAAATTAATATTAAAATTTATAATTTCAACAATAGTTCGAGACTTGTTATTAAAACTGATTAAAATTATTTTAAAAATAAATAAATTTAACTTTTCAGCAGATGACCGAAGTCAAGCATCACTGGCTGCGATCAGTGTGCGGGTGGGTGACCACTTGGATCATTTTGCGTAGGGACCGAGGGTGTGCGGTATTGGTGCTCGTTAAACTGCTCGACTTCGCGTGCAGGTCGTCGGGCTTCCGAAGCGGGTGTGCCATCCCCTCAGCAGAGGATCAAATTTGTGATGACATGTCTTCGGATCATCCTCAGGGATGTTTCTCAAACCGTCGCCAATAGGCCATTGTGCAGCTCTAGTGCGACGTAAATGAACTACAACTACAACAACATTTAACTTTTAGTAGTTTACTAATTAATTTTGGTATTTTTGTCTTCATATTTATTCGAATGGATTTTTCCGTTTTGGTTTTTCTTGGAGACAAGGGTTTGTGCTAAACTTCAGTAGAACCTTAGACAAAACTTCAGTAGAACATTAGACAAAATATCAATAAGTGAGTTGCGACAGATAGCAGAAATTTTTGTGACACGTTTGTAGTTCTGATTCAGGGTAGTCACTTTTATAATTTGTAAATACACAACAAATAATGTTTAATTGTGTATTTTTACGTTTAGCCGAGTTATTTTAAAAAGCATTGAAAGAGCATAACATGTGTTACATCTATTTTTTATCACACTATTAATATCAACTATGGTTTATTTTTTTAATAAGAAAAATAAAAATAAGAAATGAATAAAATAAGAAATAAAATAGATTGATAATAAATAAATGAAAACTTAGAAGTCAGAATTTATTCCTAAAATCAAGTTTTAGAATACTTTTAGTTTTGTTTATTAAAATGCAATTCAATTGAAATTCAAGACTTTTCTATTCAGTTTAATCTTAATAAATACTCAAAATATATTTTCTGTAGTGCATCAGCATAATTTTTTTTTAAATAAAAATATCTACTCAAATCCAAATCTCGTACGATTCTTCTAACTTAAATAGGGAAAAAAAAATTACAATAATAATTTTCACCAATATTTTTTTACCGAAATTCTTCGAAATTGAACTCAAAATTTAAGAAATGTCATGCATTTCCATTACTTTATAAATTTGTAAACAAATTAAATAGAAACAATCGAAATATTTAAAAATTCTTAAAACTTCCTTAACCTATTTTATTTTTCATTAAATTATAAATTTTTTAAAATTACAAGTGTAATTTTCCATCGTTTTACTCATTTATCGGGAAAAGGCCAGAAATTTTTAACAACATAAAATTTATTTTAAAAATACTATATTTCTGAACGATAACGAAAGCGAAAGCGATTAGGTAAAGAAGAATGAGTCTGACAAAAAAATCTGGCGCATATAATTTTCGCGATGGCGCAAGCAGACTTCCTGTTAGTGCGTTGATCATAATTTTAGAATCGCGACATTAAAGGCTAAAGAAACATAAAGTCCGCTCCATTAATATTTATAAGTAATTAACCCATATTTATAATATTTCAGATATCTTTCTGTATAATAAATAAAACATGTCTACATTTGCTACATGTGTATAGTGTCATCTTCACTGAACTTGGCGCGATAATTTTGAGGTTATGCCAAATTTTTATTATTTTATTTTGGCAACATTTTTGTAATGCTTTTTCAAAAGTATTGTAAATATTGTGATTTTCTTTTGAAGTTGCACAGAACAGTGTTTTTTTTTCTTCTTTTTTTTTATGTAAGAGAGCTTTTTTATATCTTTTTCTATATTCGACATATTTTTGAAAAAGCATTTTGTGATCGAAGGGTTATATTTGTTCAGAAATAAATAAACCAAAAAAATCGGTGACTAATGTTGCCAATCTATTATACAGCTGTTACGGCACTATATGGAGAAAAAAAAACTATTTTCTTTTCATTTTTCTTTACAGAAAAATTTATTTAGCAATCGGTAAATTTTTTAAAAGGTAATCTTTATCTTAAAAGGAAACTCTTTCTTTTTTATTCTTGATTTGGCTTTAATAGTTTAACGCAGTTTTGTTTTCACTTTCTTTTTAGGGTTGGTGTTAGAAATTTTTTAAGGACTGTTTTTTATATTTTAGTTTATTTTCCAGAGAACGAGTGCTTCTTGTGTGTTTTGAACTTAACACTTATATTAAATAATCGACAGATATATTAAAAAATCATAGACATTATCACATCTTGTTCCCAACTTTTTCTCCCCCACGTCCACAACATGTAAGAATATTATCTTGTAAAAAATCCAAATAACCCTCCTTGCCCGAATCTTTTATTTAAAAAGTAAAACCGCATTTTGGTAATAAACTAGCGGTTGTGTTTATATTTTAGTTTCTTTTTTCACCGAATGAAGTTTTAATTAAGTCCGTTTTAAGACCTTTTTATAATATATAGATTTTTAAAATTTTTATTTTATTATTATTATTATTATTTTATTATTATACATATAAGCGTAATTTTTATATTTAATTTAAATTAATTGTTATTTGCGAAAATTTTTCACTTTTAAATCAAAAAATATAAAAATAATTCGTCTAAGCTCATAATATGATTCGCTGAATTTTTATCTTACTGCCTTATTTATCATTGGTCGATGGCTTGTTTATTTTATGAAACAACATTCAATGGACGGCATTGGGCTGAGCTTTGTTATCAAAACGTTCTCATTGGATATTGGGTTGTTTTTTTTAATGAGTTTAAAGTGAAACAAAATCACAACCATGATGAAGAATGATATTGTAATTAGGGACGGCATGGACTTATGCTGAGAAGGTTTAATTACCATTTTGCCGAATGTATGACCGAATTCTAAGTAAGCTCCTTAAATTATTCATTCATGTAATAGAAAGCAATCAAGACCAGCTGATGTAAAAAACACAAGATTGTATAAAAAACACAAAAATTTTTAGAATGTAATTCCTCCGAAATTAATTCGAAATTTTTTTTTTTTAAACAGTTTTTTTTTCAGTTTTTTTTCTTCTTTTTAATCATAAGAGTACAAAACAGCAAAAAAAATTATAATTTTACTGTGATTAGTTTTGCTAAAAATCCGAAAAACCGCCAATATAAACTGAAATAAACGACTGGGGTAATTTTCAGTGTCATTAAATTTGTGAGAGGATTTGAATTCTAGAAACAAAAATATATAATTTTTTTTTAAATAATTAAGGCGATTTAAAAGTTGTATAAATAACCTTTTTATAATT